GGTGAACTGACTGAACCCCCATTCCCTGGCCCCTGTGCTGCTGAGGGGGGAAGGTAGAGAAATTGGGAGTAAAGTGAGCCTGGGAAAAAGGGAGGGGAGGGGGAAGGTGTTGTGAGATGTGGTTGTTATCTCTCACTGTGTTACTTGGATGATTGGTAGTGAACTAAATTGATTTTTCTTCCCCGAGTTGAGTCTGTTTTGCCCGTGACCATAACTGGTGAATGACTCATCCCTGTCCTTCATTCCTAATCTCGTGCCCCCTTTGTTGTGTCTCCCATCCCATCTCACCAGGTGGGGGGAGTGAATGCAGGACCACATGGTCCCACTGTGGGTCTAACCACCACAGTCGTATAATTAGAACTGGAGAATCTGACATGCAAGGGCTCTAGTGACTCAGTCACCCCAGGAGTTTGATGACATGCTTGGATGGAGACACCTACCCATTGCAGAAGCCTACATTTAGTCAGATGGCCCCAGTCCTACTATCCTTTCCTGAAAGAGGCAGAAAAGATTTATCCTCTGGTATACAGCAGAGCACATGTTCTTCCTGTCTGCAAGAAAAATTGCTTGTTCACTCGCTGTTTGTCTTCATTTTGCCTTTGAAGAAGCATAATCCCCAAAATACCTACTGGACCTCCTGGCCCAGGATGCTGGACAAACTTCCTTATAAGAGCCATTACATAAAAAAACACAGCAATAACTCTGCTTTCCTTTGTAAATATAAACCCAGGCCCTGCTCTGGCCAGAAAAACTGTGTCCCAGTGTCCCAAGCTCCTGATATGAAACTGCTGGGGACAGGACCACTTCCCAAAAAGTGGAAAGCAAGCCATTCCCAGCTCCAGTTATGCTGGGAAGAAGGAGCCAACGGGTTTTAATATCTGATAAGAACTGCCTTGCATATGCCTGGCTGCACAGAGACACAGCCCCATCTACCCAGCTTATCCTGCCTTGCTCCTCCACATTTTACCCACAGAGCTCAGGGCTGTATCCACCAAATGACAGCTCAAATCCTCACCTTCCCTCACCCTACAAAATCACCAGGTTGTTGAGCAAAATTCCTGCATGTCCACCTCAGATCACTGTCAGGTTTCTGGCTGCCACCAGGTTTTCTGGCCAGCTCAGCATTTTGGAAAATGACCGAGACAGAATGGCAAGAGATGGTTAATTTTCCACTGTCTAGGGAGAGAAGAAAATGGTCTGAGCCCTTTTCACTATGCAAAGGAGGAGATCAAAGCTGTTGTTGAAATGGTCAGTATTGCAGGTAAGGAAAGCAGCATCCAGGCATGCAGGGCTTCGAGCATCTGTATCTCACATGGCTGGTAGCTGAAGCATCTGCAAGATCTAAGGGAGGGCCTGATATTTAGATGTCTCTTCATGTGCATCTGTGTGGGAGGAGGGTTTGTACTTATTATAAGGAGAAACTACAGATCAAAACAGTTTGGTGTCTAAGGCCTGGTTCAAAGTCCATTAAAATCAACAGGAGTCATTCCACTTACCATGATGGGTTTTGGTCACTTCTCTCCTTGCCGTTCCCCAAAAGCTCAGGGCTTTTCCCTGCTGCATATCCTCAATTAAATCCTGTGAGTAATGGGGCTTCCCATGTTCACCACAGTGACTGTTTTGCAGGGAATCACTGGAGATGACCCTTCTTCTGGTGTTTACACCATGCAGATACTCATCACTCATCACTCCTTGCTCACGATATCGAGGTCCCATTGTTTGATTTGGTTTTGTAAACTGGTGCCACCAGGGTTTTTACCATCTTTTGTGTTGCTTTTGCCTGAACACACTCCAGCATCATCTCCCTCGCCAGGAGCCAGATTTGAGTTGCTGTGACAGTTTCACTTGGCTAGCCCTTGGCCAGCAGCCAACACAGCCGTCCACCCACTTCCCCCCCACCCTCAGGGGATAGGGGAGAGGATTGGGGGGGCAAGGATAAGGAGGCTTGTAGGTTGAGATGAGAACAGTTTAATAATAGAGAGAAAACTAAAAATAATAGCAATATTAAAAGAGTAGAGATAATGATGCCAGTAACAAAATATGCAAGTGAATGACACCCAGTGTTATTGCTCACCCCCCTCCTGACCAAGCCTGGCCTGTTCCCAGATAACAATCCCAGAGGAGCAACAATCCCGGGAGAGCGAGAGCTCGAGCAAAAGCCAGAGAGAGCTAAAAGAGGAAGAGACCCTCACTAATATACTGGACATGACGTGATATGATATGGAATATCCCATTGGCATATCTAACTGTCAATTAAGTTAATTAATTTAAATATTCTTCTCCCCCCTTAAATCTTATTCTTGTGGACTAACAGAACACAAAGTCCTTCACTTCCAGGGACAAAAATGTAAACATTAGTATGTTATCAGTGTCTCTCTCACAGCCAATCCCACGCTGGAAGCAAAACACAGCACAATTCTAGTTACTAAAAAAGAAACCCAGCTCTATTTCAGCTAAAAACCAGGACAGATGAGAAGGGCTTATCATCTCATCACCTTCCTCCATACACCAGTCTATCACATTTCTACCAGCTCTGCCCGAACTGCCGATAACCTGTCTGCAACTGAATCATCCATTTCTGAAAGGCCTTCATGCTGGACATGCAGACATCAAAAGCTGATGACCCCTTTGCTCTAATGGCTGCAATCTGTGCACAGTGACGATGTGACTTTTTCTCCTTTGGATTTGTCAAGTTTGTGCTGTGCTCTTGTGTATAACAACCCTTTAAAATTTCCATGTAAGTGTGTTTATAGCCTATAAACAAGTAGCTTCTCTATCTTCTATTCAGCAAGATCACATGTTTTTGTTCCTGAAGATTTTCACTGTAAGGCATTTTATTTCACACTTTCTATTTTTAACAGCCTTCAAAAATGTGGATGCTGGAATAGGACTAAGCATTAGTGTATCAGTCATAAAGACACAGAGTTGTTTCCACTTGTCAATCCTCCATTTATACAGACACAGATTGCAACAGCTTTGTTTGCCATAACATTGAGTTACAGGTCAAAATTGAGGTGCTTCTCCTCTCTGCACCACAGACCCTTGCTAAAAGCATTGCTGTCTTCTCTTCTCCTCCTTGTCCTCCCCTAAATACCACCCCAGCACCATGTCTTACCCAAACCTTGACCAGGAGGAACAAACCCATTGAGCTTTCCCATTCTGATAACATCAGAGGTCAAAGTGGAACGAACAGAAAGCGAAGGGTTGAGCCATCGAAGCGGATCAAGATCTGACATGGGGGTGCCACAGATAGTAATGTAATGTTCTGCATGAACGTGCAGGAGATGGGATCAGGGATAATGTACTTGCATAGATAGAGAATTTTTTTAATTCCAAGGTGTTATCAGATCTGGAAAAATGCTAAACAAGTGGGTCGCTGCAATATCAGTCTATTGCTATGCCACAAAGAGGGAGCTGTATTCCCTCTCTAACACCCACACATTGTAATTGCACAGCCTCTGTAAATAATTAACTAAGCCTAACCAGAGTCTTTTCCCTGTATTAAATCTGTATTATCAGTTCACTCCCCACCCCAAAAATTAATTTTCACTCTCACACCCCTTTATTATAATAGATAATGTGAAATTATCTCCCAAATATTTTGGTGGGAATATTAAGAAGAAAGGAGAGTTTCAGCCTGTTTGGGTAGAAGAGAAAGTCTGAGGGAGACAGAAATTACAAGAACATTCAGTCCCCACGCTGCAAGTTAAAAGCTGATCACATGTATTTTCATGTGTATATACATAGACACAGTCATCTCACTACTGCTGCACTGGTTTCAGCAGCAAAGGCTTTCTATAGTGCTTTCTGCCACAGCATTGAACTAGGAGGTAAAATTACACTGTAACTCCATGTCCAAAACACTGCACACTTGCACTGTGAGCCAGGGCTCTTAAGGACAAACATAATCATATATTTTGCTTAATAATCCTGTAGTCTGCTCCAAAAGGGGGCCACTCATCTGGGAACAGATGACTAGTGAAAAGCTGAAATTTGCTAACACCCCTCCTACACTCTACATTCCAACATCTCCCAGAGCTCCCACTGCTTTATCCTTTTGCCCACAGCCCCTACTGCCTCCTAGGTAAGGTGATGCTGCCTGATGTGCTGTTTTTCTTCAGTGCCTTTGTGTGGGACCAACCTGAGGAGACACCTCAGACGCATGTGAGGTGGCTGGAGCAGATCAGCCAGGTGGTGGTGAATGTAGAAGAGGGGAGGCTACTACAGCATCTACGGGTGTGTTTTGTCCAACAGAGGAGAAATAGGCATTTGGCTAAAGCTTCCCATTACTTAGACTTCCAGCAGTCTATCGCTGTCCTCAGGAAAGCATTTATTCCAGGTAATCGTTAACTTTAATAGACCAGGAGAGTGTCTGGTAAGGCAAGAAGAACAACCATGAGGAAAAAAGCTCTTGCCAGGAGCAGTTTGCTTGTAGCAAAGGATCACTGACTCTTCTCTGAAATGGAGACTAATTCAGGGCTGCCCACGGGCCACAAGCAGCCCTCAGAGCTGGGGAACTCCTCCTACCATGGACAAATAGGGTACAAGGGAGGGAAAAAGGGGCAAGCTACCTCTCTAATCAGAATGAATCTCCCAGGAACTCAATTCCAGTCCTTTTCAGAGCCTGGAAAAATGGCTTTGAAACTTACTACTTATCCTGAGATAGTGGATGTAGACTCTAAGGCTGCCTTGAGACCTCTCGTTGCCTGTGCAGTGTATGGGCACCTTGTGAACTCTCCCCTGGTTCCAGTATGGACAAAGCACTCAAGAGAATGTAACACACAACCAACCAAAATTGAACCTATGAAGCTTTAAACAGATTAAATCAATGAGGAAACAAAAGAATTGTAAGTACTGTCTTTATTCTGTGAAATTACGAAAGAAGAAGAGCTAATCTGGAAACAAACTCCCCACACAGGAGAAGTCACAGCAAACAGGACATGGTGCAAACCACGGCTGGAGTTTGTCGTGGACTTTGCTTAATCCAGTACTAGAGAAAGTCAGAAAAATACTTTCACCAAGATGAATCCTGACAGGACAGGGAAGAAGAGGGTGTCTGGAGGGGCAAACCCAGAACTCAGTCTGGCCAAAGTAGAAGCTGGTTTGCATTGGAACCGCCTTAACTTTATGTCCATCATCCCCAGGTTGTTTTTTCCATCTCCTACCATATTGCATTCAGAAATGGTGGTGCAACCCTTCATGGCAGCTTTCAGAGACAGTCCACCTAAAAAGGAGAAGAAGCACATGCCACGCATCAGGAGAATCAGTCTCCACAACTAGTCCCTCGCTGGTCAACGAGGTCCCCATTTCCACCCCAAGAACTGCCCATTCCTTACATCCAGTTGGCTTCAAACCCACCAATACATTCCTGTCTGTTCCCATCCCCTGAATGAGTTTGAAGAAGCAGCAAGGCCACCTTGATTGTCTTGAAATACAAAGGGTTTAGGTTGTCTTTTCTTTCTGCTAAATAAAGATTATTTTTTTTTAAAGTCTAAACACTTTAAAATTAAAATCTTTTAAATAGTTTTATTTCTCTCATTTAAAGATTCCTCTTTTTAAACTTTGTCTAGCTTCCTAAAGAAAGCAGGGCTGTGTGACAGTACTTCAGGTGTTCTTTGTCTCCTCTCTCTGACCCTTTCATGACATTTGAACTGGATTTGATGAACTGGATGACAAATTTGAGATGGAGGTAAGAAGTCTCAAAGATACTACAGACTGAGGCATTTATTCAAAGAAATCAGTTCTTTAAGGCCTTACAGGATTTAGCCAAACCAACAGGGAAAACCTGTTCACATGCCCACTGAGGGAGAACCTGAAACCTGAACTTGTCCTTTACCAACAATGGAGCAACCACCCGAGAAGACGACCTCAGAAGGTGCTGAGTGCCTAACTCCCTATTCAGATATTCTTGCTCCTGTTGCTTTTTTTTGCTCATACTGTTCATTTTTCTCTCTGCGCAGGCTGTGGAGGTCTGGAGTATTCTGCTGGATGTTTTTATCTCAAATACAAATAACATATAAGGGCACTTCATTTGTTCCTCACCTTCCTTTGCTCCCCTACAGCACTGCTTCCTCTGCAGAGCTCATCATACCACACAGGTCTCTTCTATTTACAATGGCTGATCAATGAAGTCAAGACAAATTAGGCACATTTTTTATTTCAGTGGTACACTGAATTAATTGCACCACTCTATTTCCATTGCTGTGACTAAGAAAATGCTTGTTTTCCTTCACATTATCTCTGTGAACCACATTCTAATTCAGGGCTTGGATAACACATCTATAAAGTGTATGTCAAAGACCTTCAGGCATCATATCATCACCTGGCAATATTATCAACACAGAGAAACTTCATCCCTAACTATACACAAGATATATTTTTTTTCCAGTCTACTTCTACAGCAGGTGCCATTGCCCTTAATTTCCACAATGTTTTTCCTGCCTGCTGGAGCATGGCACTGCCATGAGATGTGGAAGTCTTTCACCTGCAGCAGGGGAGGAAAGGGAGTTACTAGGGAGTTTGCTTGTCTATTTTTGTCTCTCTAATGACAGCTCCTGAGATGGGAAAAGGACTTGTGAAGGAGAGCATTACATGCTGCTGGTGACCCAGCCCTTCAAAGGCTGGAGTTCCCTTACAGGGAAGATCTTTGTGTACCCCAAAGTTTCAGCTGCAGCATTCATGGGGAGGGACATATGTCTCTAGGAGAAAAGGCACCAATACAACAAACAGTGTCTTGTCCTCAGTGGCCAGCATCACTTCATGAGAAAGACAATGGCTCTGTGGTAGTTTCTCCTGAACCTCCACTAAATGGGAAGCCAGCTCAGATCCAGATTCATCCTCATGCATCCTAGCTAGGGCCAGCAGGTTCAGGGTCTTGGTCAGATCTATTACATGCCCATGTATCAGATTGCTTCAGGAGTGCAGTTCTGCTCTTGACTTCAGTTATGCCATGATGTGAGGAATCCCAACAGTTATCCATGCATGATGGGGAAGGAAGAAGAAAAAAACCACCCCTGCCCTTTTGTCAGCTTTAATCATGTTTCCTTTCAGTTCTGTTTCTCTTCCTCTTTTTTACCTTCACTCTTTTTGCCCATTTTTATTTCTCTGTGATGCTTCATCTTAGACTGGTTTCACCCATTTAATAAAAAAGAAGAAAGATGCCCCTCCCCAGAAAAAGTAGTTACCAGAATTCATTAAGCCAGCAAGGTCAACACACTGGGTTTCAGATCCAGTGCAGTTTACAATGTCATTACCACACTGGAAGGAGTCCACGCTGTAGCAGGCAGGACACTGGTATCCATTGGGGACATTGTCCTCTGGTGGCACTGGAAGGAAAGAGATGGGCCATAGCTGATTTTAACAAGGGAATGAGAGGAACGAACAAGGTGATGGCTTAGCCTGGAAAGCCTCACCTCAGGTCAGGGTAGAGAGAGAGGGGAGAGGAAAAAAGGAGGCTTACACGAGACAGAGATTGTTTGACAGCTGTGGCCCGTGCAGCAAGCCAAGTGGCTCCTTGCTTTTACCTTCCCATAGTTCATGGTGATAGGGCCAAGATTGCAGATGTTGGATGGCAAGCAGGACTTGATGGACGAAGGGATTGCCATCCCCCCTGTAACGCAATGGAAGGCAGCACCAAGTCTTTAATCACAGGGTACTCCCTTCTCCTTCCCCTTCCATTAATTCCTATAGTAGCAACTGCTAAGCAGCCACCCTGGAACCTGGGAGGAGTATGGGGATAGTGAAGCCACCCCAAAAGCAGAACCAGTGATCCTAGAGGATCCTCAGAGGAACAAAGGTGCCATCACACCTGAGACACTAGTAAGGAATTTCTCCTTCTCCACATTGTTAAAGGCAAGAGGAAAGCATGCCCCCTCACAGCCAGCTGGCCTTGTTGCAGATGTTCACCTTAGCCACAGAGATGTGGGGTGATGTCCCAACTACAGAGCTTATGGCATGACCTGCATGCCTCAGACCCACAGCCCATGCTTCTTCCTGAACAGTTCACAGAGCACACAGTCCATCACAGCCACAAGCATCCTGAAAGAGGCAAGTCTAGTCTTTCCCATGAACCAAACTCAAAAGGTGTGCAGGAGGCAGATCAGTTACACTGCAGTCTACTGAGGCCCCACCAGTACTCTGAGGAAGATGGGTGGCTTTGCACAAGCAGAAGCAAAACAATGACTGGAGCTGCCAGCACCAAAGCTGGTAGGGTATGAGAAAACCTCCAGTTCAAAAGCCAACAGTCACATTGCTGAAGCTGGGCAATGACCAAGGCCATGCCACTAACCAAGTGTGCAGCTGTGTCAGGGCTCAGCACCCATCTTTGGCTTGTCAATCATGGGGACATGGTGGTAGCTCAACTGTGGTAGTGCCACCAGGCTGCCTGGTGTCCTCTTCTCTGCTGGAGGAAGGGAAGTCAGGTGCAGACCAGTTAGTCCCTCCACCCATGGCCAGAGCACCTTCAGTGCTAGATGCCAGCAGCCTGTGTCCCTCATGGTCCAGCCTCTCAACTCAACTACTCACCTTACCCAGAATTAAAAGCCAGTGTCTCCTCCCAGTATGCTGCCTAGGTCCTCCCCTCCACAACTAAGAACCAAGCCTTCCCAGTAGGAAACTGCTGCTCAAGACCGAAGAATAGAGAGCTTTTCCCATCACAGACCACCCTGATCAGTGAAAAGGAGAATGAACAGCTTATCCAGGGACTCCCTGTAAGACCAGTGGCAGACGTGGGGAAAGAGACCCTGCCCCCAGGCCTGCTCCAAAAGCTGCGCTGGCACACAGCCATAGTGGATTTCTCACCTACCTATCACGACCTCATGCAGAATGATGCCGCAGGTATCTTCACCACCACTACAGGTTTTCATGGAGCCAGAGCAGCTTTTTCCTATGCTGTGACAAACCTCACACTGAAGGGAGGTCCCTTGGGAAAGAAGGAGGACACATTCCTGGGTAGCAGTCGAACGATCTCACTTCCCTTTTTGTCTTTGTTTTGCTTCAGCATTTGGTCAGCATTTTTCACATTCTTCTTCCCCTATTTTCCCTGTTTCATTGCTCAACTTGTGGGTTCTTTTTTATTATTTCTACTACTATTTAGTCTTGTATGAACTTGAATTTGGACAACCAAGGGGAAGCCATTTTGGGATAGCATTTTACATTTTAACCACCAATACCCAGCCAGATCCTCTTTCCTCCTATACAATGATGTTTTCTTGGTTTTCCTGGGGTTGCTAAGGAAAGCATCACCACAAACCCCTCCATCCTGGCAGACATTCAGATGTCCCTGGATTCCCAATCCCCAAATCCTCTTTTTGCAGTGAAGCACCCAAAGATCTGGGGATCAAGGAGGCTGCCAGCAAGTATTGACTGTGCTATGTGAAAACTGGAAAATGGCATATGTCTTTGTAGGCATTAGGGGAAATCAATTTACCAGCTGTCTGCTGGAACATCTTAAGTAAACCAGAATAGCAGGCAGTCAGCA